TCGGGCTTTGAAAAGACAGATGTTAATTATTTGGAGGTAAATCAGGTCACCTTTGACCCAAACTCCGAGCTGTAATTTTGTTGCTCAGCTTCTTGGTCCCGAAATTAATGTAAATCTTTACATTTGTAATTTTACTTGCCAACGCCAACCCACCCACGCAGTCTGCAAATGACTGCTCTGAGTCAGAGACTATTCACTTACAACTGTGTTAGATATTTAAAAATGTTCTCTGGAAGGATTAAATCACCTAATCCTAGTCTTTTCACCGATTCGGCTTTATGTAAAAATGATGGAGCTCAAGAACATCTAAAACTGGAAGGGACTTTACAGGAGAAACCAAAGCTCTGATGTTAGAAGTGGCTTGCCCCCAGGTCGCTCAGCAACCAAAGCTAAAACCTGAAAGGAAAGCACTGGTTTGGGGTTTTAACAGAGGGGCACACTTAGAAATAAATCCTTGCTCAGAGTCCAGAGGCTACCCCTTCCACAATGCTCCTGCCTCTGACAGCATCTGTGAGTCCCGGTATACCCCACAATCTGACACTGGTCTGAAAGAACCATGCCATTTTGAATCCAAGCAGTCAGAATATGATTCCGATAAAAATAAATCAGGTCCTATTACAATACGCATCAATTTCGGAGGGAATAGGTTTACCAGAAACTGTTCATATGGTTACTTTTGAGGAGAGGCACGGGGGACAGGAGAGGGAGGACGGAGATTTGCTTTCTGTCTTGTATCTTTACTCTTTGATTTTGATTACCACGTACAGATAATAATTGTGTTATAAACCTTAAAAGAAAAACAACTCACCAAATCAGAAATGCTATACCTGCAAACTTCACAGGAGAAATGAAATTTATCCCAGTAACACTGACACTTGAAAATCCGTTACCCGGTACAGCAGGACTTTTAAAAAATTTCTACCAAAGTATCCATAATGGCAGAGGAGCTGAATAGGTTCCCCCGGGGGTCTGGGGATAGTGCCAGCAATGGTCCTCTGTACACAAGAACTCTCTTTGCAGCTTATGTCTTTAAAATGCATTCAAATTGTGCAAGAGACTCTCTAACATATCTGCATCTCTTTTCATACAAAAAAAATGGCTTAAATGACTTACCATCCACGAAAACTGCCCCTGTGGGGAGACACCCCTGGTTTCTTTCTCCGGCGGTCCGGAGCACCCGCAGCACACCGCCTCCAGTGACTGAGTGGAGAGGCCCCTGGAATGGAAAGCGCGGCTGTGCGCGAGCTGACCTGTATTCTGGCTCTCTCACCTGGAATCAGGCTTCACGGATTCTGTTATGCATTGAATAGTAACAAAACAACGGCATAAATTAGGGTGTTGCTAAGATTGTGTACCATCAATGTTCGCATGAACATAATGGACATAATGAATTCTATAGCACTATCCTGCACAGCTTGGAGAGATTAAAACCACTTTGTCTTTAAATTAAATTTCAAAAATCATTGAACAACAAGAATAGAAAGAACAACAACAAAAAACCCCTCATCAATGTCAGCCACCCAATTGTAGGATGCACCACTTCTTGCTTTCTGATCATTAATGTCTGGTCCCAGGTTTATTTTAATAGCTATCAGATCAGTGAGCCCACATCTATCGTAATAACCGTAGAGGGGGTTTGGGTTCCATTGTGTTGTGGTTGGCGGCCCTAAGAGGAGAGCCCCTTATCCCTTTCCAGGATCAAATATACAATTGAAAAATACCTAAGCTGAAGTTTATTTTATATAAATGTGACACAATATGTCTAGTCTGTTGCAGAAAAAAGAAAAGTAGGCTTGAATTCATTCTCTTTTTCAAATTGAAGTATAGTCGGCGTACAATATTATGTTAGTTTCAGGACAACAACTGAGTGATTTGACGATTCTGTACATTACACAATGCTCACCAGGATAAGCGTAGTCTCCCATCTGTCACCATACATGGTTATTATGATATTATTGACTATATTCCCTATGCTGGACTTTTCATCCCTGTGACTTAATTATTTTATAACTGGAAGTTAGTATCTCTTAATCCTTTTTGCCTATTTTGCCCATCCCCCACCCTGCTCCCCTCTGGCAACCAACAGTTTGGTCTCTATATTTGAGATTGTTTCTGTTTGTGTGTTTGTTGGCTTGTTTTTTTTTGTTTTTAGATTCTACCTAGAAATGAAATCATATGGTATTTGGCTTTCTCTGATTTCTTTTATTTAGCACATTACCCTTCAGGTCCACCTGTGTTGTCACAAATAGCAAGATCTCATTCTTTTTTATGGCTGAGTAATATTCCATTATATATACCACATCTTCTTTATCCATTCATCTATCAGTAGGTACTTGGTTGCTTCCATATCTTGGCTGTTGTAAATAATGCTGCAGTGAACAGGGGTGCATATGTGTTTTTTGAATTGGTGTTTTCAGTTTGTTTGGGTAAATACCAAGCCGTGAAATTACTGGATCTTATGGCATTTTTATTTTTACATTTCTTTAAAATTTTTTTTTATTTTTATTTTATGATAGTCACACACAGAGAGAGAGAGGCAGAGACACAGGCAGAGGGAGAAGCAGGCTCCATGCACCGGGAGCCCGACGTGGGATTCGATCCCGGGTCTCCAGGATCGCGCCCTGGGCCAAAGGCAGGCGCCAAACCGCTGCGCCACCCAGGGATCCCTATTTTTACATTTCTTAGAAACATCCATACTGTTTTCCATAGTGGCTGCACCAATTTACATTCCCACCAACAGGGCACGAGGCTTCCCTTTTCTCCACATCTTTGCCAAAGCTTCTTATCTCTTGTCTTTTTTATAAAAGACATTCTAACAGGTGTGAGGGAGGACATCTCATTGTGGGTTTAATTTGCATTTCCCCAACGATGAGTGATGTTGATCATCTTTTCATGTGTCTGTTGGCTGAATTCATTCTTACGTAGTGCTCTGCTTAGGCAAATCTTCATTCAACAAAATGGAGCATAATTGTGAAAAATCCACATTGGAGTGCTTTCTTACTAGATGCCAGATGCCATGCTTGTTCTACATGCTTTATATTACTTAATCCTCACTCACAACACCCCTAGGAAATATGTTTAGCACCATTATATGCCCATTTTATGAATGAGGAAACTGAGACTCGAGAGACTGATTTGCCCAAGGTCATACAGCTAAGTAAACAGCAGAGCCAGGATCCAAATTGAAGTACTTCTCTTTAAAAAAAAAAAATTTAACACATTTATATATGTATGTATGCAAGCTCTACACCCAAGGTGGGGCTTGAACTCGTAGCTCTGAGATCAAGAGTCACATGCTCTGGGCGGGGGGTGGGGGTGAATGGGTGACGGGCACTGAGGGGGGCACTTGACGGGATGAGCACTGGGTGTTATTCTGTATGTTGGCAAATTGAACACCAATAAATGAAATGGTAAAATTAAAAAAAAAGAGTCACATGCTCTATTGGCTGAACCAGCCAAACACCCCTTAAATCCAAGTACTTCTGATTCTGGAGCCCCTGAAACCTTCACTGCCTCCTAACAATGATCAGTTACTACTTACAGAGTCTTTATTACATATGTTCTACGGTAGATTCTTGCAACAAACTTCTGAGGCAGGCCTTATTATCCTGATTTTATAGATTAAGAAAATCAAGGCTTAGAGAAATCAAATAATTTGCTTAAAAGCACAACCAAACAGCAGAGTCCAAGCTTCTCTGATACCACAACACAGCTTTCGTTTTTTAAAAGCTTTTTAGAGATCTTTAGCATCTGAAAATGGTATATATTTCAGGTCTACAACTTGAAGTCTTGATATAAGTGTACATTGTGAAGTGTTCTTAACTAGAGCCATACTGAGATCCTGGTGCTTAGCCAGGGGGTGTGCAACGAGCACCTCCCTAAGGTTCCCTTGGTGTTGATTCCCCACCAGGCAGACCCTCCCTTCCCCGTGAGCTGCACTTAAACATGCCAGAGTGGTTGCTGTTCCTCAGCAATGGGTTTCACCTGGACTCACGGATCACCCATAATTCTACTTCCAGGGTTGCTTCTTGACAGCCATGGCTTTGTTCTTCATACAAACCTCGGGTTACAGGCGAAATCCACTGAGTTTCTGGGGCCTCGCCAGGAGCCACAGAAACTGTAAACCACTTCTCATGTGGATCCCGAGTAAGGGCTTATCCAAAAGAAATAAATGTCCTCCACTGACCAGGCTTATTAGCATGTCTGACAAAACACAGCAGTGGCTACATTTCCTCTTCTTTATGGAATGAGTTTTGAGGTGGTGGCAGTTGTCTCGCTCCCTCTGTAATCTTGGCCAGCACTGTGAAACAGTGCCAGCTCTAATCCTCTACTTTGAATGGGATTAAAATGGCATGGGCCAGGTAAAAAATGCATGAGGGAAGGCAATTGGATGAAATTTTGCTATGATTACCTTATATTTTATTATTTTTCCTCTTTAGATAAAATCCATACAACCACCATTTTAAAGTAAACAATTTAGTTTACATTTCTTGATTAATAATCACAGGACCTGGAAAGGTGGGTACATAGTCCTTTTTGGAGAAAGCTCATTCAGTTATGATCCTCCACAGGCAATGGACTTGTGGTTTTGGATGCACTGGGCCAGAATTTCCTTTTGCTATTTTTTGTAAAAAAAATATTTATTAAAAAAATTTATTTATTCAAGAGAAAGAGAGAGAGAGAGAGGCAAAGACATAGGCAGAGGGAGAAGCAGGCTCCATGCAGGGAGCCAGATGTGGGACTCAATCCCAGGACCCCAGGATCAGCACCTGAGCCAAAGGCAGATGCTCAACTACTGAGCCACCCAGGTGTCCCTTCTCTTGCTATTGTATTGGAATATTGATGGGTCACACAAGCAAGGTATTCTTTGAGAAGTGAAGGGCTAAGAGACTGGTTTGAAAAGAAAGCTCTCTACCTCAGGAGGTACTATAGCATTTATTAAACATATAACATTTACTCAAATGTAGCACTCGAATATGTAAATTAAGTCACAAACAAAATATACTTCAGATATTTTTTATTTCTTCAAATTTATTTATCAGGAGTGACTGAAATAAAAAATATAATTGAGTCCCATCATCATGGAAATGGCTTTAAGAGAAAACTGGTCAGATGAATATTATTGCTTCCCATTTTCAACCAGTAAATAGTTGCCATTGATAAATACAGCCAGCAGTCTGTCAAGAATGCTCAAGATATGTTATATAATACAACATGCCTGTTCACAGGGGGAAAAACTAGGAAATAACTTATGTGAACTTCTTGATTTCATCATACAAGACAAGCACAAAAGCACCACCCATGCCTCTGAGAACATTGGACCATGCCCCCTTGAAAAAAGCTTTGGCTCCTTCATCACGGGCAATCTTCCTCCAGCAGTCGAGCGTGCCTGTGTACATGATGTCAGCTGCAAAGAATAAAGACACGGAGTTGGTGATCAAAGGCTGAGGAAAGTCCCAGGATTTACTAAACTGGAGCCCCGCCTCCAAGAATGAATGGTAGTTCTAGGAAACCCAACATTTGCACATTCATGTGGGCGATCCTGAAATATTAATGGAGTGAGTAGAGAACAATGGGGCTACGTATGTAGACTACTCATTGGTTTTAACCTCTATTATGATTTAAGCACCCTCATTCATAGGCATCCAAAGGGCCCACACAGGAGCGGACACAATCAACCCCATTCCGGCCATCAGAACAGACTGCATTCTTAAAGTATGGCATCGCTAGCTTGTGGCCACAGCCTGTCAAGAGCCGCATCTTTATCTTTTTGCTCAAGTGGAACTTACTTCCTTTGCGCCCTGACTGCATCATCATTCGGCGACGAACAGTGTCAAATGGGTAGGAAGTCAACCCAGCCACTGCTGTGACGGATTGTGCGATCATCCAGCTGATGAAGATGTGAGTATTCTTGGGATCTGGAAGCATTCCTGAGGACAGGAAAGAGATGCTTTTACTAGAAAGCAGAGTTTCAGTGGCTTGTTGATTTCTACACCCCATCCCCATCCCCACCCCCACATCTCATCTGTACACTAAGTTTGCACTGGGTGACCATGACTTCCTACAGCAGTTACAGAAAATCTGTGACTCTGGAAAATGAGAATGGTATTAATGATCTTTTAGATGAAAGAAACACAGCTTCGAAGCACATGGCAAGCTTACCCTTTGCAGTGTCATAGATACCGAAGTAGGCAGCTCGGTAGATGATAATACCCTGCACAGACACGTTAAAGCCTTGGTACAGGCCCCTAATCCCATCAGACTTGTAGATCTTAACCAGGCAGTCACCGAGCCCTCTGAATTCTCTTTCAGCTCCAGCTTTGCCCACATCAGCTGCTAGACGGGTTCGGGCAAAATCGAGAGGATACACAAAACACAAGGATGTGGCCCCAGCGGCGCCACCTGATGCCAGGTTCCCTGCAAAGTAGCGCCAAAACTGGGTTCTCTTGTCCACACCACCCAGGAAGATCTGCTTGTATTTATCTTTGAAGGCGAAGTTGAGAGCCTGGGTGGGGAAGTATCTGATGACATTGGCCAGGTTACCACGCCAGAAGGACAGGACTCCCTGCTCCTTGGGAATACGAACCACGCAGTCTATAATGCCCTTGTATTGCTTATCTGCAGTGATTTGTTTGCTGGCGTGCTGCACCTGAGAGACAAGAAGGAGGCCAACAGGGAGATTTACAACGTCGGAGAAGGGAAAAAGGAAGACAGTATTATCCTGTCTCGCTGACCGCGCTTTAAGGTTCGCTACTTCCCGAATCTAGTCTTCTAGATCCTAACCCTCGGAGGCCGTCACCGTGGAAGTGCTCAGCACCCTTAGAAGGCATTAAGCCTCCGCCCCTTCGGGTAGGGAGGGGGCACGCTGGGGCGGACCCGTGACCTTTAGACCTGGGAGAAAGGTCATTACCTCCGGTCCAGGTTCAGAGGCACCTGGGCCTGTCCCACGTAGGGCGCGGCCACCGAGGTGACCGTGTCCTAGGGCTCGGGTCTCGGGAGCGGCTTCCCTCAGGCTCCACCCCTACTCTCTCCTAGAGGTGACCCGCGGGCCACCACCCCTGCGCCCGTGCGGGCGCGCCCTCTAGAGCCGGATCCGGCGAGAGCGCGGCGCAGGGAGGCGGGCGGCGGGGACGCGCCGGCGGCTGCGCGGGGGCGGACGCAGCAGGCACACGCGCTTCCCGGCGCCGGCTTCCGGCCCGCCGAGGGGAGAGCGCGGCCGCCGGCAGCGCGGCCCCTCGACCTGCCGCATGGCCTCCGCGAGCCTGTTATCTCCTTGCCGCGACCTTGAGGCCTTCCGCACGGCCAGGCGTCCCTCCCTCCAGCACCTGCTTCCAGGCTTCGCCCTTGCCCTCCGCGCCCCGGGAGGACGGCCACTGCTGGGCCGCCCCCTCCCAGCTCGCTGTCCCCGGGATGCCAAGGCCCCGGGCCCCCTCGTAGCTCCAGAACTTCAGGTCACTAAAGCACCTCCCTCGACTTGGCCTTTCGGCCCGCCTCCGCCGCCACCCCTGCCCGCACGGGGCCGCTTGCCGCCCGTCAGGGCTGAAGAGTTGGCCCCCCTCCAGCCCCGGCACAGAGGCTTTCCGCGCGCCCCCTCCCCCACTTCCTGGGTCGGACTCTCCAGTCCCGGGACGTACCTGCAGCAGCAGCTTGACCCGCTCGATGGGCGCGACCGCCGTCTTGGAGATGGCAGCAGCCACTCCACCCGCCAGGAAGTCCTTGGCGAAGGACACAGCAGCATCTGTCATATTGAAAGGAACGAGCCGGGGGCCTGAGAGACTGCGGTAGGAACCGGCTGGGACTCCGGGACTCTGGGGCGGAGCGACACAAATGGCCGATTTATATAGGGCGAGCCGGCGCCCGGGCGGCCGGCGTCGGGGGCGGGCCCGGGCGGGCGCCGAGCCCCAGCGCGCGGGCCGGCGGGGTGGCTGAGTGGCTCGGCGCGCGGGGGGGCGGAGCCGTGAGTCGGGCGGGGGCCGCCCTCCGCGCGGCGCCGCCTGCCGTGGCACCTGACCTGGCCCGGGGACCCGGCGGCCCTAGGGGATACCCGGGCCCGGCAGCTGGGCTCCGGGAGAGCCCTGCGAGTGCGGAGGGCGGGTGACGTCCCGGCGTGCCCGCCCAGAGACCTCTGCAGTATTTAAGGGGACGCCGACAAAATCTCGGCAACTAACAGAAATAATATTTAATGCAGTGTCTTAAAAAAGGATGTGGGCAGACTAGGGCCGGTCACCTGTTTTTGTAAATTAAGTTGAATTGGAGCCCCAGGGTTGGGAGTAGGGTGAGGCAGGGTCCTGCCAGTGCACGGTGCGATCCTGTCTTTATTTTAAATTTTGAGAATTTGCTCATCATGGAGTTTTGCCGTACTTTTTGACTTTTTAAAAATGGTGCACTAAAAATGGTCTGTTTTGATGACTGAGTTGTTTGGCACCTCTTTGGTGCCCCTCATTCTTTTCACTCTAGACCTGGCACTGCTCTGGAGCTTCCCCGGTGAAGCCAGAGGAAATTGGGGGAACAGCAGAGTTGGGACACTGTCAGCGTGCCCCAGACTCTGGTTTGCAAAAACGATTTAACGCAAATCTTACCCGAAATTGGCGGAGGAGAGTCCAAAGGACTCGGCTGGGGGTGGGAAAAGTATTTTAGCCAGAAGCCAAATAAAGAGGTTGTACCAGGAAGGTTAAGAGGCTGTGTGAACCAGGTTGGCATTTAGCTCCTTGGACGCAAAGTAAAGTGCTCTTGGATTGAGTAGATTCCTGAACTCCAGAAGCTTTTAGAGGAATCAATAGAATTTGATTGACAGCCATTGTGTCAATGGACAAGTGCTTACTGAGCCCCTTAATCCCTGCAGTGGGTAAGCATTTGCCAGACAAGTCCTTAAAAACCTACTTGCCAGCTTGAGTGCACTCTCTTGGGTTCAGAACAGTAGCTGGGAATGTAATCACGTATCATATATCTAAGTAATCACAAGAGTGTTTATGGAAAATGAGGATATTGTTGCAAACTGCAACTGCTGCGGATGGGGAAGTGCCCAGCACACTGAAGACACGCGGGCGTATTCCTCCCTTTCCTTTCCTGCCTTTTCCCACCTTCTCCGGATCTGCCCATGGAAAGGCCGGATTCTAGGGTTCCTCTAGGAACATCAGGTCCTTTATTTAATGATACTTTGCATTTTGTAAGTCTTCCCAGGAATCTGAAGTGGTGAGCACACGCTCAGAGAGTTGAAAGAAGAGCAGTCTTGAATGCAGCTTTGCCAATCCTGGGTGAAATCTTGACCTGTGTTCATGAGAAGCGGCTCTGTTTCTCATTAGTTGATTAGAACGGTGATGCAGGGCAGCCCGGGTGGCTCAGCGGTTCAGCACCTGCCTTCAGCCCAGGGCCTGATCCTGGAGCCCCGGGATCAAGTCCCACATGGGGCTCCCTGCATGGAGCCTGCTTCTCCCTCTGCCTGTGTCTCTGTCTCTCTCTCTGTGTGTGTCTCTCATGAATGAATAAATAAAATCTTAAAAAAAAAAAAGAACGGTGATGCAGCTGGATACAGAAATGACCTTGCTGTAGAGTTTCGGTGATGAAGTATATTCTCTGAAAGTGATAGTGAGTCCTCTTACCTTTACTGGTGAGAGAATTAACAGCCGAAACAAAAGTCTATGGAGCATTTTTTTTTAGAGGGAGGTGATTTTTAGAATGCATTTCAAACTACAATTCAGGGACTCCTTGGTGGCTCAGTGATTGAGCTTCTACCTTCTTTCTGCTCAGGGTGTGATCCTGGGGTCCTGGGATCAAGTTCCATATGGAGCCTCCTCCTTCTCCCTCTGCCTGTGTCTCTGCCTCTCTCTCTCTGTGTCACTCATGAATAAATAAATAAAATCTTAAAAAAAAAGAAACTACAGTTCAGAACCTTTCCAGTTTGAACTCTTGACATTGTGATTAATGTATTTTTATTGAAAAATTAAATTACTCTATGATACCCCTCACCAGTCACTTAGGTGCCCTTCTTCTGTCTTTCACTGGCCACATCTGCTATTCCCTTTGAGCATGATGTCCCTACTGTTTTTTTTTCTTTTTTTTTTAAGATTTTATATATTTATTCATGAGAGACAGAGAGAGGCAGACACAGGCAGAGGGAGGAGCAGGCCCCCTGTGGGGAGCCCAATATGTGACTCAATCCCAGGACCCTGGAATCACCACCAAAGGCAGAGGCTCAATCATTGAGCCACCCAGGTGCCCCTTCCTACTGCTTTCTTTTATTTTTTTAAAGATTTATTTATTTATTCATGAGAGACACAGAGAGGCAGAGACATAGAGGGAGAAGCAAGCTCCTCGCAGGGAGCCCGATGCGGGGCTCGATCCTGGATCCCGGGATCATGACCTGGGCCAAAGGCAGACAGATCCTAACCACTGAGCCCCCCAGGGGTCCCTTGCTACTGCTTTCTATTCCAAAATTCTTTTGCGGTTTCAAGCACTTTCACATTTACTGTTCTGTCAGATTTCTGTCTTACCGCAAAAAGATGATCAAATAATGTCATAGAATTTGTCCCTTTTCAGTCTTTGGGTGCCTAAGTGTAGTTTTACTGAAGATGAAATAAAAGGCCATTTCAAAGAAGCTTCATGATTTGGTATTTTGCTAGATCTACTGTGGGCGGGAGCTTTCTTAGTTACTTATGACTTCAAGGAGTTGCTTAGTTGTTTCAAGGAGTCAGAAAGATGTTCTCAAAAGTGTTGAGGTCATAAAAAAGATGTTCTCAAAAGTGTCAAGGTCATAAAAGACAAAGAAATACTGAGGAATTGTCACAGATTAAAGGAGGAGAATGACAGCTTAATGCGATGTGTGATCCCAGGTTGGATCCTGGACCAGAAAAAGGACATTGATGGTACTATTGGTGAAATTTGAATATCTGTAGATTAGTTACTAGCATTCTACCAATACTGTTCTCAGTTACAGTGATTATGTAAGATGTTAACATTTGGAAAAGCTGAGTGAAGGAAATATAGAAATTCTTTATACTTTGTGTGCGTGCAAAATGTTCATGTCTGAAAGTTAAAAAAAATTAAAAGAAAAAAGAAAAAAAAGGAAGAAACCAGGAGCAGGAGCACAGGAAAAATAGAGACTAATATTAATGATAATAATGATGATGTTGATGGTAATATATGGCTGGTCAATTCATTAAAAACTCCTCCAGTGAAGCATTGGTGGGGGCTCTGCATTAGTAACTACTGTGTCTCTGGAAGCTCTTCAGAATACATGTATAATTAAGAAAGAGGAACTAAAGCTAAGGCAGTGCCTAGTAATTCTCAAGAAAAAACTAGGAAGGTCAGAAATGATACAGAAGGCCTCAGACACACACCCAGAATAGGTAATAAAGTGAATGTAAAATGTTAATACAAGCAAGAAAACCCAATTTATAGGTATCCTGCAAACTTGGTAGATCAGGACTTCTGACTGGTATCTGGAAAAGGAGGAGGAGGCCTGGTTCAGAGAGATACCATGTAGAAGGAGAGCAGAGTAGTAATATATCAAGAAGGCATAACCAGTAATTCATTGGCTGGAGGGGAAAAAGCATCCAGTGAAAATGAAAGGGAGAAATGAAAGTGATTGTGGTCGTGGAAGTATACAAGGAACTGCCTGGTTAGATAACAGCTATGAATAATACTTCATAAAACCATCACATAGCTGAGAGATGGGGATCAGAAGCAGAAACCATCCGAATACAGGCTGGAAGTTTCATTATTCTGATAGCAGCACATTGGATATGTTCTTGACTCTCTTGTTGATAATTACAGTTCTCAGAAGACAGAAGAATCAGTGAGGTAAATTGCTAAACTGGGCTTAATCCTGACAATAAATAAGGAAGATCTAGTTAGCAAAGTGAAAGTGACAAGAATCTTGGGGAAACTGACCATACCATCTGGATTTGTTAAGCAGAAGAATGCTGGGCATGGTCAGAGAGGTTAACTAATGTGTGTGTGTGTTGGGGATGAGGGGGCAGGTAGACATCAAAAAGATCAAAGATAAATAGATTCCCTGGCTAAATACCAAAAGAGAAATAGGGCAAGAGATTCTAAAGATAAAATTCAAACCTATACACTTCAGAAAAATTCCAATGAGAAATTACAAAGGGAAAGATGAATGTAAGTGTCCTTATAGATTATTCTCTGATGAGCTCAGATTTTAAAAGTGCATACATATATAGATGACAGGAGGGCTGGACTTCCAAGGATAAAGACCAAAGAATATCACAAACCTCTAGGAACTGAGTCAGAAGGGCTAAAGTCCAGAGTAAACCCAGGCTTATAAAATAGGATGGACCACAATAAAGGGTTCTAATGTTCTATTTATTGCAAGACAGTTAAGGGATGAGGCCCTAGAGCTTAGTGGTAGCATGTATGGTAAAGAATTGGGGTGGGGGGAGTGTTCATTGACTATGAATTGGCAATGCCAAAAATTGGTAACGAGTCTTGCGTTGGGCCAAGAGGATGGTGGTGAACAGATCAGGGCCTCTGCTGGGCATCCCAGAGAGATTTATGCTTACTTCTGGATGCCATGTTTTTTTTTTTAAATTTTTATTTATTTATGATAGTCACACAGAGAGACAGAGAGAGAGAGAGGCAAAGACACAGACAGAGGGAGAAGCAGGATCCATGCACCGGGAGCCTGACGTGGGATTCGATCCCGGGTCTCCAGGATCGCGCCCTGGGCCAAAGGCAGGCGCTAAACCGCTGCGCCACCCAGGGATCCCTGGATGCCATGTTTAAGATGACATCAACAAACTAGAACATATTCATAGAAGGCATTAGGCAAGTAGAAGTGCTTATAAATCATGTCGTATGCGAAATGGCT